ACAACACACCTCTGAGTGACAAACTGGTTCTTACATAACATAAACACACAAGGAAACATACTCTGAGGTAGCTATAATATCAATATAAACCACCTATTATATATTTTTTTATATTATAGAGTCAACCATCAGCTATTTATTTGGTCTACGTTTAACAATACCTTTCCAAATTGAGGATTGTGTTCTTTTTTTATCCTTTATAGATGTTAAATTGATCTTTTTCTTTCTCTGAAAGAGTTTTGTCTGTAGCTTTTGTGTCAATATCACTATCAATTATATTTTTCTAAAGGTGACTAACAGAGTGGGATTGAACAACTGAACGTTTTCTTTTCTTTTGTGTGCCATTTCTTGTGGTAATTTTCATATTTTTAGGATTATGAAATAAGATTTTCTGTTTTGTCTCAAAATCATACAAATGTTGGAGTATGACAGAGGAGATGGGTGGTGAGGGAGCTGAAGTGCTTTTATTTCTTCACATCACGCTGATTGCTTATTTTGTTTTAAATGAAAGGGATGAGCAGAAAAGCTAACAATTGTCCTCATCAGTTACAGCTTTGTCTCTCTGATGAAAAGCTACCACTGAATATACTTGCTTTTGACACTGGCAAACTATTGCTAACTGGTGCCTATTATCTCACTTTCACTATGGCTTTCATGTAGTCCAAATATCTGCCCCCTTTAGCCTATCATGAGCTTCCTTTTTCTCAAATTTCTTGTATTAAGTAAACCTCTGTACAAATTTTTCATTTTCAATCTGTATTTGTTATGCTCTCAATAAGATCTACCTGTCTCCACAGGTGCTGACCTGTTCTCTAACTGCACAGAGGAGTGCAAGGCCCTAGGTCACTCTGACCGCTGCTGGATGCCATCCTTTGTGCCATCAGATGGCCGCCAAGGGCCGGACTACCGCAGCAATCTGCACGTCCCCGGCATGGATGCCACGCTGCCTGACACTGAGGTACCCTGCTCCGTCAACCTCCCCGACCAACTCACCATGACCTCCTCCACTGCCTCCTCCAATGATAGGTCATTCTCCACCTTTGGCAAGGATGGCCAAAGATCACAGTCACACCACAGCCTTCAAAATCACCTCCATCAGCAACAGCAGCAGTACAGCTCCAGCACGCTAGAGAGGAAAGAGTATGATAGGGGGACCCTACCGTACAAACCAACCTTTCTCTGTGAGTATCAGTATGAAACTTCGCTTGGACCCTTTGACTTCAGTCTGGTCCAACACAGAAACTAAAGGAGGGGGCCTTGAATCGGCCTCTTAATCTGATTTGGACTTTCACATTTATCAACTTTTAGTCTTCTGTATCTAAGGAGGTCAAGAATACGGCCTTTAATTTTGTTGTATTTTTTTTTTTTTGTATTTTTCATTATTTAAATATATATTTTTTTCTCTTGTAAAATGTATAAAGACCTACCCCTTTTCTACTAATTCTATAATTCTATTTTAAATTAACTTAACATTAACATAAATGTTGCCTGTATTTACAGAAATAAATGTGAATAAATTTTGCATGCTATTCTTTTTTGTTTAGTTTTTTTTCTCTAAATTACCCCTCCCTTTAAAATCCTTCCTACCTGATGCTCATACTTGTAAAGGTCAGCAACACTTGCATGATTCATGAATGAAACATACATCGACATACAGAATCTCAGGAAATAATAGCTACTGTATATGGCATAGTATATGCACTTTATGGTTGGACCTCATTCTGGATGAAATTATGCAACTTTGCTGGATGGTGTGGAGGTGATCAGTTGATGGCTCTGCTGATGTGTTAGAGAAGCACAGGTTGCTTTAATCATCCTCTGTCTCTCGCCTTGTTTTCAGCCATATTTCATAAATTCTCAGAGAGGTTTAACCCAGGTCTCTTTGCGGACCAAAAAAGCAGAATAATACAATAGTCTTTAAGGCATTATTAGCACTTATTGCAGTACAGCCAGGTGCCAAGTCCAGCAACAAAAAGGAAGATAACTCTCTCCATGAACATGTAGTTATTTCTGCAATGACTTTTGACCTTCTAAAACATAGTAGACAAACATTATAAGATAAAACTGGTCACCAAATTATCACTGAGTGTCAAAACATTTTTCTGGAATTGGATTCTGATTCTCTAAATAATAATTTAATCCCAGGGAAATAATCCCTGGGAAAAATAATTCTTGATAAAGAACAAGCAGCTAACCTTTAGCACAGTTCCTTTCAAGCAAAAAAGCATAGTGGCCAAGGCCTTTCTGCTTGGAGTGCATCTCTTATTTCTGCATGTGGGTAGGCTCCGTCCTTGTATTTTGGCTTGTCTGTTGTTTGGCAGTGTCAGTGTTAACCTGTGAAGGGTTGATGCTGTCATCAACCTCCTCTGACGATTAAGCCTGTAAAGAAAATGTATGAATGATAGTTGTAAATCAGACCACTGCAATAGTCTAGTTCCTTTTTCTCAGCAGAAAAGGTAAAACCTTCCCCAGGTTTTCTCTTGCTCAAAGCAATATAAGCTGTAACTTCTCCGAAAAGAGAGAGAGAGAAGATTTTAAAAGCTTACTACTTAATTCCCGCTCCTCCTTCCCTCTTGTAGAAGACGAATGCCATGGCTACAAGCCACGTACACCACTTGCTCTGTACAAGCTCTGGGCAAGCGGTGTACGGAAATTAAGCATAATTGGTGTGAATAAAGCTTTTTGTTGCTTTCTCTTGAAGAAGAGGGTGTCAGTGGCCGTCTGCAGGACAAGTAGAATTTTAGGCTATAACATGGTCATGATACAAAATCGCAAAAAAATACCAAACATTTTAATTGGTCTTATCTAATATTTTGATGTTTTGCAAAATGAAAAGAAAGCCATCATTCAGCTATAACTGTTTTTAACATTAACAAAAAAAATAACATAAGTAAACTCAACTTGTATTGCACTTTGTTAAACTGAAGTTATGTTATAATTAACCATATGAAATAAATACATTTTTTGAAAATACTTTTATTTGTTGAGATAAACGTATCCTAGAAATTTTATGCTTGATAAGTATGACTGAGCACAAACAAAAGGCAGTACAAGTCAGAGTAAGAATTCTCCACTTTTGCATCAACATTTATGAGCATGATCATCTGACTTTGCTTCTGAAAAGCTCAATAGGTGAAGCTTACAATCCACACTTCTTTAAGTAAGTCCAGTTGGCTCTGAAAAGGAACTGAACTGTTTTAAATTTCCTGGTTGTAGATACAATGCTGGACATAGAGTAAGGAGAGGAATGTGATTGTTTTACTGCAATTTCAGGATTCTTTTAGCTAAAAAAGAAATTGACATAATGTCCTCTCGAAAACTCAAAAAATAAGTGGCTAATAAAGCTGAGGAATTTAAGTCATAAGTGACTTTATTTTGCAATTTAAAATGAATTAATGTTTGGTATATTTAAAGCTGCTTTTATAATTTCAAAGCAAAGAGTAGAGAATGAATTTGATATACATATTCAGAAGGGAAGTCATTTCCAGTCATCCCAACACCATGTTCACCACCCTCATCCATGATCCTGCATGCTGGCTGTCTCAGGTAAATGATGAGCACAATTATCTGCTTTATCTTCTTGTTTAAAAAGTGGTCATTATTAAGTCTGTAGGTCCTTGAGTCTCTTTAGTTCCAAATGTAACTATCTGTGCCTTGTGACATCTACCTTGCAGGGTTTGAAAAAGATGTGCTTGATCCAAAATTTACAGGTTTAATTTAATCTCACATGATCGTTTTTAACTCTTCCATATTTCATAATCTGAACAATTAAAGGCAATCCTATCTTATCAAATCTAAGCCTCTATCAAGGACAGGCATGTTTTGAAAATAGCTGTAATTGCTACTGAAGCAATTCTCTGATCACCAGGATTCCCTTGTAAAAGGATTAGTAAATGTTTAATGACCTATTTATTGATAATTAATGAAGCAATTAGTGCTCTTTGTTTCTGTTCTACATACATTAGGCGACCACAAGAGTTTGACAGTTTATTCTTACTGATGGACGTGTTTTCATTCCACTCCGAAATTAGCTTTACAGTGTATGTAATAGTATGCTGTAAGGACCAGCGATTAGGGTGTATAAATAACTTCACACAGCCCTTTGTGGCATGTATCCTTCAAAAGACGATATTTCAAGCTGATTGTGCCATTAAAAAGCCTCAAGGGAGAAAAAAAAAGTTTAATTTGTCTTAATGAGTGTGTGTTCTCTGTTTTTTTTTTCAGCCCGCAAAAGGATTTGCTAGCTCATTCCACGTAGACATATCGGAGACAGCGTGAATTTGTGTACTACAACATCAGCACTGATACTAAAGACGGTGAAACAGAACTAAAACAAATGGCAGCCTGGATGACAGAAACCTTGGCTAAACTTCATTTTCTCGAGTGGCGAACTGTAACAGAACCTTGGCGGTGGCTGCTGAGGGAGAAAAAAGGAGAAATAATTACTGAGTAGCAGTAAACCTCTTGATACCCAAGGAGCAATTCAAGGCCTTATTTCTCTCAGCAGGACTGAGAACGGCATGAAACTCTTGACCAAATGAAGATTATAATGGCATAAGATTACTGAGGGGATGAATTGAAATAATAAAGTAAGACAGAGGGGTACTAATTAAATTAAAGAGGTGTTACCCCCCGCCCCCCACCCCTTGCCTAAAAGAGGGTTAGCCTCTAGAAATATGTGTGTGCCTGTTTACATAAAAAAAGAAAAAATGTTTCTGTACAAACTTCAACCAATGTCACACTGAACCCTTTAGCTATTTCTATGATCACCACTAAGCCAGCTGTACAGAGTGTTTTGGGAGGGAAAGGAGACTGACAATGAGACAATGAGAAAGCAGATGACGCAGGAAAAAGAGTATACGAGTTGTACATGTACAGGATTAAAAAAAAAAAGCAAACAAGTGCAGTACTATAGATTCTATATCCAGTTTTTTGACTTGACTGTCTTTATATACCTTCTCTTTTTGTTTCTGTTTTTTCTGTGTGGTTCAAGTGTGGAGACTAGAATATTCCAACTCAGCTTCAGACAAGCACTTGTGGTTCAGCGTTGGGTTGAGCCCTCTTTCAGACTTAGCTAGCCTCTTCAGGAAGGAGATTTGGACAAATCACTGTGTTAATGTAGAGTATCATTTTTGGGATCAGAAATACAATACAAGAAAAATGAATGTTTCATGTTTGTTCATATTTTTAAAAGGCTTCTTATTGTTTTTTAAGGTCCTTCCTGAGCTATCGGCAGAGAAAGCGTAATGACCTATTAGAGAAATGTGGTTCTCTTGATGCCATTGGCCTCTACATAACTAATCAGACACACTCAGTGGTTTTTATCATGTGTGCAAAGTGTTTACTGTACTATTTTAAAATCTTATAAATGAATATAAATCTATATATATATAACACTATATATATATATATATACACAATATACTTTTGCTGAAAACTGTGTAACCATTAATTAGTTTTTACACTCCATTAAGTCTCTCATTCTTTTAATACAAAGTGCTAAAAATTTAAGATGAGTATTGTTTTATTTAAATAAGCAGTGCTTAGCCTGAAATGCTACATTTTATGACAACCACCAACTAAGTTAATGTTCTTATTTTACTGTTATTTTTCACTGTTTACATATTTCAGGCCTTGTTGTGTGCTGCCAAGACACAATTTAAGTTGTTTTGGGCTGTAATGTATTTTCAAGCAGATAATGTACAGGATGGAAAACTGTCACAATCCAGCAAGACTTCTTAAGTTTTACGTTATTAGACATTTTCATCTCACAGAAGGAGGTTATACATTTTGATGAACTTTGCTCATACATCATATACACACATATAAACACAACCACAGACACACAGATAAAATGGTGATAATAAACTGTGTCATTTAAGTTTTCTTAAGTGTATTTTGTTGTGGGTATCTTCAAAATTGTGTGTGTATTTGCAAATTCTTTTTGCAATTCACTGGCCTCAGAAATGTTTTTATGTTTTGATTTAGGTTTATTTATTTATTTTTTTTTTTATTCTATTTTTTTGGATATCATTTGATTATTTCACCAAAAATTTATAAAATCCTTTGGAGTATAGAAAATGTAGTAGAATGTAATTTTAAAGATAAAAATATTCTAGGTAAACAATTTTTAACTTATTATTTTTATTTTTTCAATACATTTTTTATGGAAGACATTCTAAAGTCGTAAAAGAATGTCATGGAATTTCAAGAAGTAATCACCATGGCCCTGCTCTACTTTCTACATTTCTTGACCTCAATAGCTCCTGAAAAAAATCCCAATCCTACCCCTCCACTACAGCGTGATCTTTAGATGGCCTGGCATATGCTTACAGAGATAAGCAGTAAAAAGCAAAAGAAGAGAAGTCCTGGATCAACTGCAAGTAAAGTGAGGGGTCATGTGGGAGACACAGCAATCCCATACTTAATGTCCTAAAAACAGAGCTGAGTTTGTCTCCATCACAAGATAGCCTTCTTTAAAGAGCAGAGGGACATGTGACCAGAGCATATGACTGATTGAGTGGTTGCCTTGTGAATCAGGGCCCTTTGGGCTTCTGATTAAAACCTCACCCAGAAATTATTCAAAGTTCTTTTGAGAGACTGAGAAACTTTTGAAGAAAGAAAAAGAGGTCATATGCTTAACTAAATAATTAGATAAAACCAGAGCATTATCATTGGGGTCATACGATTTCTGTGTTCTTAAAGTGGTATAACCCCAAAATTACTTTTTGGTTGCAATCATGGTTAATGAATAAACCTTAAAGGGGTACAAAAATATGATTGGGCTTTCACATGCACGTCAGTGGAGGCATTGCCTCAGTTGTTATTATGACAGATATTGACCAATGTATGCTCCAAATGGCTATATTTCTATCATTTTCTTTTCAAATGCATGGGAAAAGGGGGGAATGAGGAGCTGTACCTCCCCTCTTAGGGAGCTGTGTTATAGCGCATTCAGAGACCAAACATGTTTGAGGATCAAAAAAGCTTCCAAAGTCTCAACTTAGATGCTTGTGCATTTGGAGGTCAGATGCTCTGGTTGTTGAGCTGCTCTGTTCAGTTGAAATCCAGAAAGTAGCTTGACTTTATTTGCTTCGCTGTGTTGGGGAAAAAAATATGTTCATTTAATCAGGATTATGATCCTACTTAAATATTCTGCTCATGTTCCAAGCGGCAGACCCCCCTGCATCCCGGTGGTTGCTGGGACTCCCCACCCAATGAGGGCTTTCTAAAGCCGGCCAGGCTCATTGGGATTTCTCACTCCCAAATCATTAAATATTAACACTAGTCAATATCCCCTGCGCATCATATACTGATGTTTAAAGGGTACCATTCTGGTAATTTATTGACACGCAGGCAGGGACTGATCGAGGCCAAAAAAACTGTCCTGGATTCTTACTCAGCATGACCTACAACAATTGACGCACATAAACTCACCACCTGCCATAGACACTCTATCATAAACTTTACCAATAGCCATAATAGCACTAGTCACTAAGTTGAGAAAGATGTGTGGGGTTAAATCTTGAATTAGTTAAACCAAATGGAGCTGTACCCTAGTCTCTCTGACTGAGCCAAAACTAAACAGGTATCCGGAAAAAAAAAAAACCAAAAGAGTACTCTTTGGCTTATTATAGATGAGAAAGTATTAGGCTGTAAAAATACATTACTACTTGAATACATAACTAAATAAATTCTAACCATAAAAAACAAAGCTCTTTGCCATTTTAATTAATCCTGGTGAATTAGCATTTTCTTTAACAGTTCACTTTTTCTGCAGCTCTGTCTGTGACCAAATCATTGCAAAGAGACAAGGGGAAGGCTGTGTACCTATATCTGCCCTAATCAATGTATACAAATACCATAAAACTCCCATAATACTCGCAAAGCATTCTGCGATATCTAGTCATCTAGTGGCCATGGATGATAATTGCTTTTCAAGGTGCATTGTGCGAAATTTTGAGTCCACTACTTTATCATCAAATATAGGTTCGGACAGTCATTTAAAATGGCGTAACCACTATAGAGTGCCCTATATAGTGATTAGGGTGGACATTCAGACACAGCCATGCTCATAAGCATGAAATCTTTCAAGTGTTCATCATGGACATCGCCTGTGGTGGCAACGCCACTCGCTTCCTCTTTCACTGTGGCACAGCTGCTGCTGGCTGTGCCTTTTCAGAACAATTTAGTACATTTGCTGCTATTAGCAGCTTAAATTTCTGAATGTCACTTCTTCCTCCTTGCCTGCTCAGCCCACCCATTTTCTTTTCTTAACAACACTATTCCATTTCGAATACTTTACAACTAACTTCTTTTTGTTTGTTGGCTTGGTCTTCTTCCTTTACTCCACAAATGGGAGACACTGGCAGATGGCTTAATTTTAAACTGCATTTCTGCAACCTACAGGATGGAGGTAGAATACTGAGAAAAGAAGTGATGACTGTGTGGCATTACTACTGCAGCAGACCATCAGCTGAGCTGCACACATATGACGATCGGTGACGTTCAGTGATTCTCCAGAACCCCTAGATGGCCAGTCTGCGCCCATTCTGTATAACAGATTATTGACATTGTATCACGCAAAAGGCACCAAACCCACTACAAAATAATTTAAAAATTTTAGCGTACAAGGTTTGCATAACAGAATGTTCCATGCTTGTCACTTCCTTTCCATACAAGCACAGCAGAGTCTGTTACATTAAGTTGGTTTTTGATTTGAAAATGCTTCCTGCATGAGAAGCAAAACATTATCAAACTTGGAAACAAAGAGAAGCGGATGTTTTTTTTTACTATTTTGGAATTTGGTTGCTTTAGGAGTGTATGGTAACATGTATACTAGTGTTTCTTTAGTTTCAGGCAAAGGGATTGGTTAGTGGTAAGTTTTCATTTTACAGTTCATGGAAGTTCCTTTTCCAACCTGTCATGCACCCTTAATGAGAGTGCTATCACCGTTGTGTTAGTATGATGTGCACAGGATCTGACCAACCGTTAATACCAGTACCAAGTACCAGTATTTAAAATCGAAGATTACTCTACAACTTAAATTAATGTCAGTATCTATAAACTTTCTCCACAGTTCAGTTAGAAAATATTTCAACAGAGTAATAATGATCACAGCACTTTTTGTACATAAAATTTCTATTATCCTGGCTTTTTAAAACCTGTAGGTAATAAACACATTATATTTATTAAATGTTCATATGTAGTATACACTGGTGCATGCCCATCGTTTAATCTCTATATCGCAAATATACATGTTTGAAATCAAACGTTCAACACATGTTGATTCCACAGTCCAATATATCTATTATGATATATTCTGAGCTTACAGATCTATAAAATAATGCTTTAGTGCATCCCTTGCCTTATTTTTTTTAATGTAAAACAATCTTAATGTAGGCTAATGTATGGTATAAATGAAAAAAAAACTTAATTGTCAGCAAATCTCAGCAAATGTTATATGTCTAGTTAAAAACTTTTCATACAACTGAACCTTCCAATTAAGGTCAAATGCAAGTTCTCTCTCCTTTTGGTTAATATGTTTGTACCTTCCATTCTAGAGGATCCGATGACACATATGGACCTCAATGCACATCAGTTAATTTGTATAGCTTTATAATCTTATATTACTACTTGGGATTGGGTTGATAATTTGCTTGATATGAACCCTATTTATTATCTAAAATCATGAATTCAATCCATTCATTAATTCATAACTCAAGAATTCAATAATAACACGGAGACACAAGGCATCCAATATTATGACTTTTTCAGGAAAGTTTTATTCAAAACTTCTAGTGATTGTCCCATCCATCATTACTTCCATAAACAGTGCACTGCTGTGTTGACATACATTTTATCCTGAACTGGTTGGGATAAAGTTTGCATTTAATTAGTAGTATGAGAAACTACACCAAAATATTTTATTTCAGCAAAAAAGTCTTAATGGGCAGCAGCACCTACTGAATGAATGTAGCCAAAGTTTGGGCATGCGTCCTTTGATTATAATGGATAGCTCTCTGGTGATGAGAATCTGTTTCACTGCTTTATAACAGTGTTGTGGGAGCAGGAGATCAGTTTTCCACACCTGCAAAACAACACCAAGAAGGTGGGAGAGTGGCTGCTTTTAACCATTTATAGATTGATTTTTTCTACTCACCCAAATGGCTTCTGTACTGTCCAACCAAGCTGGGGTTTTTTAACCTCAGTGCTCTTTTTGAACTGTTTGTCTTCCCTCTTGTCAGAGCCCAGGGCTGTAGCCAGAAGCCATCCTTCAGAATGTTTTTTCCCTGTCGATCAGCTCAGGTAAAAAAAAATGTCTTCCTGCATGTTGTAAAAGGTGCTCTGATGTACTTTTTTTGTGGAACTGTGCAACGATGTTAACAAACAATAGCCCAATATTATATTAGGTTATGTATTTTAACAATAATAAGCCAAGGGTTTCTAAAATTACATTTTTAAAAAGGGATGAATTATGAACGATTTTTCCACATTATACTGTTTGGACACCAGGTAGAGTGCATCAGGGCTGGGTATTGTCCCCCAATTAACCCCACTCTGGCACACTTTCTATTCGGGGTTCGGATGGAAACCATGGTAGATCTGAGTCAGGAGTAGCTCTGGGGCGCTACTCTTGGCAGGTAGCGCCCCAGAGCTGGTCAGAGGCAGTGGATTGCTGGGTCTAGCTCTGAAGGCATATGTTGGAGACCAGTTGCTGGGCAGAGTGCAGCACAACCAAGGAGAGGGGAACTCTGGAAACTACGGTGTGAGGAGGACAAATGAATGATCAAGCATTCCTTACTTCATCCTATCTCAACAATTTTTTTTTTGTCTCCCATTTATATTGAGAAAAAAGCTATCTTTTCACTGCACCCTTCTGATTATTTATTCATCAATCGTTTTTTTATGTGGACCCGTTCTGTCTTTAATATAAATCTTATATGAGTGTATACTCTTTAACAAACCTGTAATA